ACGTGCGCCTATGTGCACACGCACGCACACGTACACACACATGACTTGATTCTCCTGTTATTACACCAGCGAAAATCACGAGCAAATTCACTGAAGTCAACAGAGCTATTTCAGTGAAAGAGTAGAATCAGGAGACACACACACAGATAAATACAAATAAATATCTTCCTCCCACACAAGTAGTGATGATATCTATGTGATAAATTACATTTAGCCTGCCCTTCACACAACTTCACCTGCACTCTGCCCACTAATCCCTCTGCACTGGAATTCATTTGAACATAGCAAACCTCTCAGCAGCTTAAAACAAAACAAATCTGCTACAGAAAGATCTCTGTCTTTTACTTAAGTATGGCGTTTCCTCAAAAACTACAGTGGTCTCATGCAGAGTAGCCAATATTCAGTCCTGCCCCAGTGGCACGTTTACAGTTCCAATTTAAAAATGTTAAAGCTCTCTCCTTTCTGTAAAATATGTGAAATTTATGGAGCACATGGTAGAATGGTGTGACACAGAGGTTTTATTTGCAAAAAGAAAAGGAGTACTAGTGGCACCTTAGAGACTAACCAATTTATTTGTACTTGTTTGTGAAGACTTGCATAACTCACTCATGCATGAGTCACACAGCTATTACAAACTCATGCCAATAAAAGGACATTCTTTGTAGAGGTCTGAACAGCGTCTAATACAATGGAATCCCAATCCTGATTGGGCCTCCAGCTGCTACCTGAAGATAAATATTAAATAAGAATTAATATACTCACACTACACAACTACGTATTCTATCTTACCCTAATTTGCATGGACACACACTGCACACAATGTCAGAACCTCAGAGGGGGAACATCTGCATTTGATCAGCAGTCTTTAATAAAAGCAATATAATATTAAAGACATAGGAGGAGATTTTCAAAGGTCCAAATTAGGGCTGTCAAGCGATTAAAAAATTAATCACGATTAATCACACTGTTAAACAACAGTAGAATACCATTAATTTTAAAAAAAATTTTATGTTTATTACTTTTTCAAATATATTAATTTCAGTTACAACACAGAATACAAAGTGTACAGTGCTCACTTTATATTTATTTTTGATTACAAATATTTGCACTGTAAAAAAACAAAAAATTATTTTTCAATTCACCTCATACAAGTACTGTAGTGCAATTTCTTTATCATGAAAGTTGAACTTACAGATGTAGAATTATGTACAAAAAAACCTGCATTCAAAAATAAAACAATGTAAAACTTTAGAGCCTACAAGTCCACTCAGTCCTACTTCTTAGTCAGCCAATCACTCAGACAAACAAGGTTGGTTACAATTTGCAGGAGATAATCCTGCCCGCTTCTTGTTTACAATGTCACCTAAAAATGAGAACAGGCATTCACATGGCACTGTTGTAACTGCCGTTGCAAGATATTTATGTGCCAGATGCGCTAAAGATTCATATGTCCCTTCATGCTTCAACCACCATTACAGAGGACATGCTTCCATGCTGATGATGGGTTCTGCTCAATAACTATCCAAAGGAGTGCGGACCGACGCATGGTCATTTTCATCATCTGAGTCAGATGCTACCAGCAGAAGTTTGATTTTCTTTTTTGGTGGTTCGGGTTCTGTAGTTTCTGCATCAGAGTGTTGCTCTTTTAAGACTTCTGAAAGCATGCTCCACACCTCGTCCCTCTCAGATTTTGGAAGGCACTTCACATTTTTAAACCTCGGGTCAAGTGCTATAGCTATTTTTAGAAATCTCACATCGGTACCTTATTTGCGTTTTGTCAAATCCGCTGTGAAAGTGTTCTTAAAACAAACATGTGCTGGGTCATCATCCGAGACTGCTAGAACATGAAATATACGGCAGAATGCGGGTAAAACAGAGCAGGAGACATACAGTTCTCCCCCCAAGGAGTACAGTCACAAATTTAACTGATGCATTATTTTTTTAACGAGCATCATCAGCATTGAAGCATGTCCTCTGGAATGGTGGCCGAAGTATGAAGGGGCATACGAATGTTTAGCATATCTGGCATGTAAATACCTTGCAACACTGGCTACAAAAGTGCCATGCAAATGCCTGTTCTCACTTTCAGGTGACATTGTAAATAAGAAGCAGGCAGCAGTATCTCCCGTCAATGTAAACAAACTTCTTTGTCTTAGCGATTGGCAGAATAAGAAGTAGGACTGAATGGACTTGTAGGCTCTAAAGCTTTAGACTTTGTTTTTGAATGCAGTTATGTAACCAAAAAAAATCTGCATTTGTAAGTTACACTTTCACGATAAAGAGATTGCACTTCAGTACTTGTATGAGATGAACTGAAAAATACTATTTCTTTTGTTTATCATTTTTACAGCGCATATATTTGTAATAAAAAATAATAATATAAAGTGAGCACTGTGCACTTTGTATTCTGTGTTGTAACTGAAACCAATATTGAAAATGTAGAAAAACATCCACAAATATTTAATAAATTTCAATTGGTATTCTATTGTTAAATGTGTGATTAATCATCGTTAATTTTTTTAATCGCGATTAATTTTTTTTAGTTAATCGTGTGAGGTAACTGCGGTTAATTGACAGCCCTAGTCCAAATGCTAATTAGGTACCTAACTCCTTCAGTGGGAATTAAGCACATAAATGCAATTTGCACCTTTGAAAATCTCCTCCTATCATTAATATACTGTTTTTATTAAATGCTGTTGGCCAAATTCCCAGTTGTAAGTATTTATTATATCTGTTACAGAAGTGCTTAGAACCCGCAGAGATCTAGGTTCCATTGTGCTACGTGCTGTCTGTACACATAGTAGGAGCCAGTTTCTATTCCAAAGAGATCACAATCTAAGAGAGACAAAAGGAGGCTCACGGAGGTGAAGGGCCAGATTTTCTAAAGTATTAGGCGCCTAAAAACCTTTGAAAATCTGATAGCAGATCAATGGCAGAGTCAGGAATAGGCTCCCAGGTCAGTGCTCTATCCACTGGATCATGCTGACTCTTGTAGTTTGATTTGTACTACTTTGAAGTGGCAGTTATCATTATTATTTACTATTATTGCTCTTATTATTTCATTTGTGTTGAGAGGCCCCAATCAGAATTGGGGTCTTGTTGTACTAAGCATGTCCAAACACATATGAAGACACAGTCCCTGCCACAGAGAACTTTTTTCTTTGTAATGCTGTGAGGTCCCATATTAATCGCTTTCAAATATAAGAAACATTCTATTTCCATGTAATTCTTGCTGCTGTCTCTTACCAATGTAATGGGTCCCTCTGCAAATCAGGTCAGTAACAATCTCCACTTTTAAAATCTCACATTGCAGTGCCATTTAATACTATAATATGTTAGCTATATAACATGCACAGCAGAGTTCAATTAGATTGTATGTCTACAATTTCAACTTTCCTCTTTTTTCACTACCAAAGGCATTTTTAGTCTGCCTTTCTCTTTTAGTTCTAACATTTTGGTGGAAATGATTCATCATCAACACTGGATCATTTCTGAATATTCAGAAATATTTTCCAAGCATCCTAATACTTCAATCTTGCAATCATTAGCATATATCAGGAATATATGCTTCCCGCAGCCCCCATTGGCTGGAACGGAGAACCGTGGCCAGTGGGAGCTGCGATCGGCCGAACCTGTGGACACTGCAGGAAAACAAACCGACCCGTCCCGCAGGATTGGGGCCTAATTTTCTAAATTCAAAGTCTTTGTGGCTTCTGTTGAAATAGTTGTTCTTCATTAAAAAAAAATATTACCCCTCTGCTCAAAAATAATTCACATGGTCTCCAAAAAAAAAAAAAAAAAAATCCCATGGCTTATGTAAAAATGTGAAAATATAATGTCACTGAAATAAATTTACTTTTGAACTACTTGGCATATTCTAATCTGTGATACAGCAATAATTTCTGCATCACAAATTTGTTACTGTTAAATATGTCTTGACGGGAAATTGCTAATGCAGCCTTAGTCCCACTGGGCAATATCGTTAGCCAGTGTAGATGGGCACCAGCGGACGGTCTGACCTATAGTGCTCTAGAATGTATAAAAAAACATGAAAAAATGTACATTTATCAACAGGTTTATTTTAATACTATAGGCCCAATAAAGGAATGAATTATGCATTATATACAGCCCTGTGTATGGTGTTTTTTCACAAAACATCGAGGTTTTGATGCTCTGTTGTCTTCAACTGATAACATTGGTATGCATCTCTATCCCCAGTCAGGGCACAGGAGATCATTTTTTAAAAGTTCATCATTAAAATAGTTCTACTATTTGGCTATTTGATTATTTAACAGAGGTACAGTCAATAGAGTTGCCATGGGCTAGCAATAGGGGAAGAGTGTGTTTGCTAAGAGATATTCTTATATTTGATGGTGCAATATTTCGCCAAGTGTACTACACAGTTGTAAACAATGCAAAAAAAAATGTTAGTGGGAGGTGTGTGTGTGACTAACCTTTGACCTGGAATGAAAAAGGCTACAAGATTTGCCTTAATTCAAGGGACTGCAGTAACCCAGTTTATACATATCCAGCCAAGTAATCCACCTCAGTGCACATACTACAGTAAATTGATACATAAAATAAACTGTAAATCCTTAGGGGGAGGGAAGAATTTCCCCTTCTCCTCTTTCTATTGTTATAATCCCTTTAGGAAAAAAAATCAAACTTGGGTAAAGGTTAATAATAATTCATGTCCAGCTTACTATTACTCAATAACTATCAAAGTCTCTAACTCAAAATAGTGTTTGCTGGCTTACAGGATCAGAGCCATTACACTCTCTATTGAAGACTTTATTGAATTTTACACTAAGCTTTAGCTGACTGAACAGGTCAAGCACTCTGGCTCACAGTTTTCTTTATTCTCAGAAACTCATAAACCCTTCTCCAGTTTGCAACGCTGTTAGCTAAGAAACTTGACTCAGCACAGGGTCAGAGAACCTGACCCCCATGAAAAAGGTCACATAGTTTTAAAACCCAGTTCCTGAATACCATTAACTTACATGCACTAGCTGTTCCTGCGTGTCAAACTCTCGTGAACAGCCTTCCCAATGGCAGTTCGTCTCATAGACCACTTCGGGCTCCTGCTTGCTTTCATCTTTGTCCCCTTCCTCCTTTACAAGGGTCATTCCTTCTGGCTGTTCCTGGGGGAAAAATAACAAAAAACAATCCAGGTGTGAAGAGAGGTGAGAAGAAACTCTGATAAAGAGGGGGAAGAAAGATGAATTACTTCAATATTAAAGGAAAGGTACAGTAAGAAAAGCCCAATTTAGATTAATTTATTCTTGATTCAGCTCATTACCCACATACATGTAAAACACAGAAGCCCTGAGTGGGCCTTGTAAACCAAACAGTGGAGATGGGCTATTTCTCTAAGAGCTGGTTCCCTCTTTTAACAATATATTTTCCAGAAATATCCAGTGCAGATCATTTCTGCAGGAACCTCCTCACGTGGTGCCTTATTACACAAACTGATAGAAGAGGAAAAGAGAAAAGGCAGATCATGTCCCGAATTATTCAAACCTGCTGGCATTCAATATCAATGAGAGGTGGAAGAGGGTTGGGGGAAGAAGGGAGGTGAAGGGTCAAAACGTCTTAATAAAAATAACTGGAAGTCACAATGAAATAAATTAAAATAAAATCATAAAGGGCCTGTTTCTAATACTTGGATTAATTTAATGGGTTGTCCCAATTGTTTCAGTGAGATTATGACTGAGTGAAATATTATTCAGTATGAGTAAGGGTATCAAAATTGGGATCAAATACTATGGCTGCACTTGCAAGCAAGATCATCAATCTAAAATGTACTTCAATTCTGAATCCCGTAATAGGCTTGGAATGTGAAACTTCTTCCAAAATTAGACTGATAATTTTCAGGATACTTGATGGATGCATTTGGTTTTTTCCCAGAACGTGTGTATGTGTGTGGTTGTATAGGTTCAGTTCCTAGCAGAGCCCCATTCTGCCCAGCTTGCTATTTGCTCAGGCTAAGAGTCAGATGTTAGGAGTCTTTCTGAACATTTGTTTCAGATTATGAAGACATGCTATTTTCTACTTCAGACCCCCAAGTAGGATTTAGATGGACTTTGGTTTTGGTTTTATGGATTCAGTGAAAAGACTGAGGACCTGATTCTAATCTCACCAACCTTGGTGTAAATCAGAAGTAACTCTATCAAAGTCAGAGAGTTATGCTGGTGAAAAAGCATAGCAAATGAGATCAGAATCATATGCTGAAGCCCTGAATCTGCAAAACACTGAAGCACATGCAAAGCCCAGTTGAAGTCAATGAGATTTAAGCATGTGCGTAACTTTAAGCATGTGCTTAAATACTCTGCTGAAGCAGGGCCTAAGTGCTTCAGTTTCACCTTTTATCACCAAATACACCACAGCAAACAGAGGATTGAAAACTCCTCTAAAGACATACAGAGATGCAAGTCTCTCCCCACCCCCTCCCCCAGCAAAAATATAAAACAAACCAGGTCATAACTGTTCACATTTGATTCTATAATCATCCCTTGGTATTATGGACTGAAGCAGTGTGTGTGTGCATCCATGTATGCTAGGCCAAGGGCCACAAAGCCTTAAAACGTGCTACAGATAAGATGTGCCTTCTGTCTGGCAGTGAGATGAAAGTCTGATTAATGAAACCTGCATGCTGTACCTGCATGTTTCCTGCACCTGGACTGGGGAGGTCCTCATCTGGTTTTATCTTGGAACGCTTGTTGTGCATTGGATCCCCGGTGCTGCTCACTGCAGATTCACTTGTGGGTTTATTCTGCTGCAGATATTGTTCCCCCAAAAGACAAAATTAGAGTGTGATAAATACACAGAGCTCCAAACGGAAATATGCAGCATCGGCTAAACAACTTTATTTGGAGATGCTACATTGTTAATTATATTGGCTATTGCCATTATACTGTATTCAATTACATAGCATTAACTTGCAGAATAGCTGCATCATTCGAACGTGTAATGGAGAGGGGGAAAAAATATAAGTGAATACACTCTGTGTAATTCATTATGATAAACCATTGTTGCTTTTGTCAGGATGGGGAAAGGTAATAAGGAGTCAATATTCCACGCAATTAGGAATTCAAAAGGTGATTACCATTTTGAAATGTGAGATCACTGTGAATTAGCTGCAATCAACATGAGAAGAAGGAAAGTTTACTTACAAGAAGGGCTATATATTTTATTTTACATCTGTAGATAGAATCTCAGCATTTTTCTGAGACTTATAGTGGTGGAATTAGGAGAAGATCTGAGAGCTAATACAAAACCATAGGCCAAAAAATCTTGGGAGAAACTCCTGGCTCCACTGTAGTCAATAGCAAAACTTCCACTGATATTTCTGGGGCCAGCATTTCACCTCTTGTATCTCAGGCTGTTCTCAAGGCTGGCCTTAGAGAAAATGGCCCCTGGCTCACACTGCATCTCTCCCATTGCCACAAGCTCCCTTCCGCAGCCTCGTATCCCAGGCCCTCCCCACGCCTTGTCTCTTGACCACGGCACCTCCCTGACCACAATGTCCTGGGAAGTGGCTCATGTTGCCCACCCGTAAGGCCGGCCTTGGCTGTTCTGAATGCTAGCACCTGCAAGTGGATCTGCTGGGTGCATCTCTGAACCTGCCTGAAGCCCCATTAAAATCAACGGGGGCTCTGCAGGGATTTGTCCAGATCCAGTTGCAGGAATTAGCTCCAAGTTTTGCAGCAGCCAGTACAACAAGGAACCAATCTTAGGCCATGCTAAAAACAAATAATGATTAACAATGACAACATAAACCATAATGAATCCAAAATATCAACCTGATTCACTACTGCACTACTCCAGTTATGTGTCAGTGCAACTACAATGATGAATCCAGGTCCAGTGAATCAAACTCTGCACAAATCAGTAAAAACCTTAAGTAATCAGTGGAGTTTCTCTGGATTTACGCTGTGCAGCAGAGTAGAATGTCACCCTACATCTGTATAGTCATTATATTTAGCCTGATTTGGGAATGAGCAGTTCCTATCTTTAAAACGCTGTGGTTTCCTGCATGCTTTCCCTCCTCCCCCACTCCACACCTGGATTAAGTTGTCTGATTCAGGAGAGACAGTTGGGAACAAGGAGTCACTGAAATATTTATGAGGGACAGAAAGCATTCTACCAATCAGAAATCACAGATACACTCCTGTGATTTATAATAAAGGACTGCAAACGCCATAGCCGCAAGAAAGTTGTTATCCAAGGTTCTCAGTGACTGTAGTGATTAATTGCTAACATGACAATGTGATTTGTTTTATTTTTTACATTAACAAGGTGCAAAGGTTTCTTTTGTTTGCTCTCACCTGCGTGGACTCGGAAGGACCAGAGCTGACCTGGACAGGGTTCAGGACACTAGGGATGCCTGGGATAGGTCTCTGGGTAGGAAAAGTTGGGGCAGGATGGATGAGTGGAGGGCTGTGTCCAAAGGCCGAACCTAGGGTTTGCTGACGACTTATAATTTGCTGATGCATTTGCTGGAGGGATACCGGTGTGGGAGGGTAAGTGAAACTCAGAGCAGGACTGAATTTAGGAGGAAAAACAAACAAAAAAGAGATAAGGACCATTGTTGTGTTGAGTTGTACAGGTAGTTTACATTTCCAGCTATTAAAGTAGCATAGACAAAAAGCTATCCCTTTCCCTCTCATTCTCCTCCCCCTTTCTCCCTCCCCCAACAAATGACAAACATTGCTATTAAATCCAAATCTGGGTTAAATTGATTACTGAGAGCAAAAATGATATTATAGCAAAAATCATGTTTCTACCCTTCCATTAAAAAGACTCCCATTTACCAACAATACACACAAAGCTGCCTGAAATAAAATTCAGGAAATCGGAAACAAGAGGCAAGCAGTTCAATAACAGCTATTTATTACAATAACAAACTTTATATAAAGAAAAAGAATGGGCGATTACATGTTTGCTAGTACTTTTATTGATAAGTAGCTCTGTATGCTCTCGTGTATGAAGCAATTCCTTTCATGCTATGCGCGTTCATATGTCTCCAGATCTTATTACAAGAGGAGAGAAAATCAATTGGTTAAATGTGGTTTGAACAACATGCTTGTCATATCACTCATTTGTTTGTAAAGATGGAAAGCTCAGTTCATCCAGAATGTCACCTAAAGAATTTCCATCAGTGCCGTTTGGTTACAGAAATTGATGGATTAACCTTTCCCCTCTGAAATTGGTGATCAATGTTTTTCAATGTAGAAATATTCCAATGGGAAAGCACTTCTCCCTCTTCTAGTTAAACAACACTAAATGTCTATTAAAGCCCATTATGCATGCTAATACCTGTCATCACTTCATTACCCCGCTGTATTTCCCAGACTAGTGTGAGTTCTGAGGAAATTACACAGCAGTCTAAAGACCTCTCTACTAGTAAGTAGTGCCAAATCATTGTTTTTGTGCCATGCTTTAGAAATGAATTGTTTGAAGCTAAATCCTCTGACAAGGCCATGGGATAGTCTTGCAATCATTTGCCAATAGCTTACAATCACATTGGCCAAAAAAAAAAAAGAAAAAGTGTATTCACAAAAAATGTATTTTTTATTTTTCTCTCTCTCTTAAAAAGAATTAATTAAAAGATCCTGGCAAATTAAAAACATTTGGACACGTGCGTGTACAAAAAAATAATAACTTGCAAGAATCGAGGTTTCTTGTAATGTCAAAGGTGGTTTTAATGCAAATTTAAAGTCTGGAGTCTTAATTGCTGTTACTGTTAAGCACATTAACCGAAAACATTGAGATAAAAAATAATTCAAATCATTTCAACCATTTTAAGTAATAATTCTACAGATAGCCTATGTTCATTAATCTGACTATACATTTTGTCTGTTTGACTACAATCCATAAAGAGACCGCTTCAACGTGATTACATTACTATTATTCCTGGTGAGAACTCCGCATTACAATAGTCTGCCCATTTAGGACAGAATATCATTAAGAATACCCTGGGAGAATTTTACCAGTCTTTGAGGAACTCTCTTTTCATTTTGCATTGTATTCTTTTAATAAAGGGAGGCAGAAATGTAGTGAAAACAGTAATTGTTCACAGCAAGAGTTAGGGAGAAATCAGTAATAATATTCAGTTATTGCAGCCCTACAGTCCCTGCCAGTGTTCCTGTAAGCAACCATGAATGATTACAGCACGACTTGGCTAAGGTAGCCACTATGGATGATTGATAGGACATTAATCAAAAGATGCATATCAGGCTCAGAATTTGTTCACAAGCTTTCTTCTAATAGCTGATTTCATGTTCACTGAGCTCTATGCCAGTTTGTTCAATTTATTCTTCAGTGTACAAGCCATTCATCAAAGAACACAATGATTTAACACCCCTTTTCCCTTTTAGTGAACACATTACTAAGTGTAACTACACTGTTCTGTTCATTAAAAATAACATACAATTACAACGTCACACACCAGTCTGAAACAGCAGTCGTGTAGCCCTACTAAGCATTTATGTTTCTATAGATACTACAGATTAATCAGGTGGAGGTCCAAAGTCACACGTAGTCCAAAATCTAGGTGGTACAGTCCCAAGGATGCTACCCAGTTCTTCTGGGTCAACAAATACAATACTCAAATAATGTGAATTAAGTGCTTGGTATTTTATTCCTGGTGTGTTCTGGGAATAAATTATAATATTTACTTAACATGTAGGGACACAAATGGCTTGATCCTCTTCTCACCTGCACCAGTTCAAATAAAAATTAACTTCAATGGGAGCTGCAGGTGGTCAGCACATTTGAAAATCCAGCCACTTAGGTGTTCAAATATAAATTTAGGAACCTAACTTTAGGCACTCGGGTTTGAAAACTTTGGCCACTATACGTTAGGTCCTACATACTAAAAAAAAGTGATATTAGTTTTAATCCACAAGATATTAATGGCTAAAATCTGTTCTTAAAAACTTATATGTTACTGCCTTTGACACACGGTCATCTCCGACCTAGAGTGAAATTTAGCCCTAAAAGGAATGGTGCATAAAAGATCTCTTACAATCAGTTCTTTTGGACAGCCTGCAATCCAAACAGAGATTCCTTTGATGAGGCAGTATGGCTGTTGTGATATCAGTGCCTTGAGATGCTGACAGTGAAATGTCAAGGTCGGACCTTTGGATCTGGATCTTTGTGGGATAGTAAAGAAACTGCAAGACCACCACGAGTGAGCTCTACTTGCACTCAGTGCTCCTGAGCAACTTGTTCACTTATACTTATTGGAGCTCAGCGAATAACATTTGTAATATTCTCGACTTAATCCCGCCAAAGAGAGGCACACACACTTAAGAAGGACCTTCTCTTAGCCAACGATTACCACGTTCCACTCCCCATTTCACATACATGAAAACAACACAAACATTGTATCTTACTTCCAACTTTAAGATGCCTTTTAAACTAATGACAGGTTTCAGAGTAACAGCCGTGTTAGTCTGTATTCGCAAAAAGAAAAGGAGTACTTGTGGCACCTTAGAGACTAACCAATTTATTTGAGCATAAGCTTTTGTGAGCTACAGCTCACTTCATCGGTGTAGCTCACGAAAGCTTATGCTCAAATAAATTGGTTAGTCTCTAAGGTGCCACAAGTACTGCTTTTCTTTTTTTAAACTAATGGACTCCCAACGGTTTGTTGCATGCAGTCAGACAGTGCTGCTATATTTTATATTGGTGCTCCCCAATATAATAATATTAAAAATAATACCACCTAGCTCTTACGTGGCGCTTTTCATCAGTAGATCTCATGATGGAAATGGGCACTTTAAAAAGGAAACAGGAGATGTGTTATATGCTTTTTTCTCCCAAGTACAATTCAAAGATGGCCCTAGCTGCCACCCACCAGTAAGATGAATGAAAATGATAAACCCTAGCCTACAGAGATGTTCTCTTTCTTCGCACTGCTTTGAGTAACACACACGTTATCAAAGAGAAGGCTTTATTCCTACATCCATGCAACTGTAAAATATCCAGCATGAATAATGCAAATGACTTACAATGGCCACCATGTTGTCCCATAAGGCCCTCTGTATTCACCCCACTTTCTTCAAATAGAGGGCATGACTTATTGACTTAACTCTTTCACAGCAATATACTTGGCATTTCAAAGTTGTGCGCTAGATTACAAGTTGGACAGACAACTAGCAGCATGGCAGACAAAACAGACTCTTTTCCCATCTTCATAGGAAGTGGTGTATATTGGAAGGTAGCAATAGCATAAGAAGCTCTAAAAAAAACTCAGCAGGGGAGTGAGGCTGGAAAGAGGAAGAATCCTTGTCTCTGTATTTTCTCCCTTTTATTCAGTACCTTACTGCAAGAACTGAGAATAAGATATCATGATTTTCATGTGCTGCCTGACAACACATATTCCACCCAGTGGCAGAAGAACACAAAGATGGGCCCCAGTGCAGGTTTTTATTGTGGAATTTCTCCCTGAAATTTGAATTATACACCTCAAACATGGCGATTCAACTGTTCAGAACTTCATAACATTTCATTCTCAAAATGTTAAACTGTTTCACATAAGCTACAAGACAATAAAACACTAAAGTTTTCTACTCACATATTTGATCCCCCATAAGAGTCCAGCAGGAGAGTGGAGGTATCAGAGCTAAGATTCCAGACTCTCCAGCCATATATGAACAACTGGGGACCCCCCACCAGCAACTGGGAGGAGGGGTGTTGAGCCAAGACCCCCCCAAAAACACACACACACACATACCCACAGCTCATGGGAAAGAGGTGGAGGGGGTGCAATCCGCAGGCCTGGAGGTGAAGTGTGGGGATTGGGGAGGCTGGGGGTTTGGTGAGGAAGGAGTTGGGAGTTCTGGGAAGGAACCAGAGGGCAGAAGGGTGTAGGGGTTCAGTGTGAGACTGGAGGAATGATATAAGGACAGCGGACTCTGGGGGAAGGGGCAGAAATCTGAAGGCCCCAAAAACAAACAGCCCAGACAGACAGCCCATGAGGGGCAGAGGGTAAAGTGGGGGGCTGGGGGAAGTGGTTGGGGACAGAAGGGGTTGGGGATGTGCGGCTGGCGTGAGAAAACTGGAATTGCACAGCTGTGGGGAAGGGTAAATCGGAGAGGAGCTGGAGGGGGCACACAGGAAGTATGGGAGATGTGGTGTTGTCAGGCTGTGGGGTGGGGATACATCAAGGGGTGGTGCTTATGAGAGAACATGACACCAATCACTCTCTCCTGGCTTCTATCCCACGGGGCTGGCTGGGCTCAGCTTCCCGCTCAGGGCGTCACCACCTCCAGGGTTGCCGTGGCACTTGGGTTTGCCCCAGCCCCTCTGAGGGTGGGCAGGCTGGGCCAAATCTGTGGAAGTGGTGTTGCATGGGGTCATTCCCCCCACCCCCAAGTGCATGGGGTCACAGTACCACTCAAATTTGGCCAAGTAGTTAGTGAGGCAGCATAGGAAGAAGGGGTATCAATTAGCTAGTAGATCTCAGTGGAATAACTCAAAAATGGCAACCTCTGTAGAGCCATGAAGTTGACATCCTAACTAGCTGAGACTCCTGC